CCAAAGGGGCCCCCCCCCCCCCCGTGTTTCCAAAAATCTTAACCAATCACTGTATTTACTGGAAACATGCTGTACTTATACAGACTTCCTGGATACTCCAAATCTACAAAGCTTAATTAGGGAGGGCACAACTATGTAACATGGTATTTTGGGAAGCAGCTTCCTGGACTTTGAGGAGTTAGACTGTTTGTAAAGGGTGTGTGCCATACAGAGTGTTTTGGTTTTCTTTAAAGCACTATTAGTTTAAGGTTGCTCCTCATAGGTCAATACTAGTGAGTACATACCCTGACTAAAGCACTATGGCTTTATAAGAGGTAGCACCCTTGGGTTACACTTAAAATGTAACCACAGCATATTTTGGTCACATCTCTTTTGGGCTAACATGGTTTTGCACACATTGACATTTGATCTGGAAGGCACAGATTAAAATTTAGAAGTTAGCTTATTCAACTGTCTCATTTTATCTTGCATTCTCAACTCCCAATTCTTTTCTATGTTGCCCTATAACTGAATTCTCTTAGATCAGAATCAATCCAAATCAATTGGTAGTACTTTAAAAGTCATCCCCATAAACATTCTATAAAGTTTTAAAACTATTTGCTACGTACACAAAAATTAGACTAGTGTTTAGGGCCCTCAAAATACACCATTAGGGCCAATGCTATAAAAAGTAACACAGCTTGTCACTGTGATTTTCTAGTAACTCTCCTATATCCTCTTGTATGGTTATTAGATCATCTATTTAACCCTCTTTATGGTAAGATAGAAACAATTAGTCTTCATGACTACTAAATCAGTACATTCCATCAACCCTCACTTTCCTCACAAAACAAGACTGGAAACTTGCAGTGCCAAACAAAAGTGCATAGAAGCAAATAAAAAGACAACTGGTTATTCCAGCTTCATGCAGTTTTATTGTTCTACTGTAAGGAAACTTACCTTCAAAATTCATTTTACTACAAAAAGGAACAAACTTTCTGGGGTCTGAAGGGATTGGTACTTGAAGATACTCCAGTCAACAGGGGGTCATGTTGAGCATTCTGCAGACAGAACTGTTTCAAATCTGCCGCTGCCTGGGAAACCTATACATAACAAAGTGGGAGGGAATGGGAGGTGATTAAGAATGTTTTCAGAAAAAGTTTTCTCAAATCTTTCAAAATACCTGCAATAAACATTTCTCTTAACTCAAAAGATACATACTAATAGGAGATTATCAGTCACATACTGAGCTCTTAAAGCAGGGCATGTAAATAAGACTAGTTTGTTTCATTTTGCTTATTAGAAGCATTATCAAATGATTTAGTACAAAGGGTACAATTCCATTTATCTGTAAAGTACAGCACATCTTGCTAGTTTATTAATAAGCAGGTTGCTCAAGTGCAACTTTGAGGGGAAGCAGCATCTTGCTTTTTATTAAAAAGCAGTACCCAAAGCAGTACACATAAAAGTTTAAGCAAAAAGCATTAAAATTCTAGCAAACTATTACTTCACCTTGAAAGCAGTATTACTGGAAAAATGCTACCACTGAATGAACATGAAGTTCTAAATCTAAACCATTAATTCACTGTTTTGGTATCATGCATCATCAGCTAATGTTTAATGTTACAAAACTGGACAGTGACAGCTTTCTGCTCAGTATCAGGTAACTAAAAGCTGATAGCAAACTTCAGTTAATTTTAACAACTTCACTGAGCAGCCTGCCTGTAAGAAACTGTATTTGCCTTAAATGTGATTTTATTGTTGTTGTTAATCCTCACCCGAGGCTATATTTCCATTGATTTTTAGAGAAAGTGGAAAGGAGGGGGAGAGATAGAAACATCGATGTGAGAGAGAAATATCAATTGGTCACCTTCCTCATGTGCCCCATCCAGGCTGGGGATCAAGCCTTCAACAGAGGTACATGCCCCTGACCATAATCAAACCCGGAACCCTTCAGTCCACAGGCCAATGCTCTATCCACTGAGCCAAACTGGCTAGCACCTTAAATGTGATTTAATAATTTTCATGTGTATACAATGCTACCCAAATAGGACTTAAAGAACTTCTATGGCTTTACACTTTACTTTGTTTATAAGCTGTATCATTTAAACATTATACTAATAAAAGGGTGATATGCTAATTAGACAGGGTCCACTGGACATCTTCCGAACATCCGACTTCCTTCCAGACAGGGGGCGACCAGGCCAGCGGGGGGTGCTGGGGTCCAACCCCAACAGGTCCAGGGGTCCCCAAAGGTGTGGACGGAGTCGGCGAAGAAGGAATGACACGGAGACAGCATTCAGTTGATATGACCTTCCAGATGAAGACAGGGCTGCAAGGGTGAGCCCCTTGCATGAATTTCATGCACTGGGACTCTAGTCTATACTAATAAAAGGGTAATATGCTAATTAGACCAGGTCGACCGGATATCTTCCGGATGTTGGACTTCCTTCCGACAGTTAGGGGGCGACCAGGCCAGCAGGGGGGCAGTTAGGGGGCAACCAGGCTGGCAGGGGGGCAGTTAGGGGGCGATCAAGCCAGCAAGCAGAGGCAGTTAGGGGCGATCAGGCAGGCAAGTGGTTAGGGACAATCAGGCAGGTGAGCGGTTAGGAGCTAGCAGTCCCAGATTGCGAGAGGGATGTCCAACTGCTAGTTTAGTCGGACATCCCCAGAGGGGTCCTGGATTGGAGAGGGTGCCGGCCGGGCTGAGGGACGCCCCCCCCCCCCACGTGCATGAATTTCATGCACCAGGCCGCTAGTTTGTATATAATTTGGTAAGGTGATGCAGGATACAAAAACAATGAACTGAATGGGGTTCAGGTGTAGAATATGGATCACTAAAAGATGCCCCAAATTAATAAAATATCCTAAGTCTTGAACTGAGATTTAGGAAGATGGGAAAAATAATCATTTATTCTCAGTTTTAACTATCCTCAAGGAGGGGGAGTGCAGCAGTCCAGTCCAGCTGGGGTATTTGGCCTTTGAAAAGGAGTAAAGAGCATCACAGATGCTCTCTATACAAAGAAAGCCTGCAGATTATTGCTGTACCTATTAAAAGTACATTAACCTGATAAAACGATCCATCATCCTGAGCTGAATCTAAACTCCACTCTCAGAATCTATGTCTATGTTTGGCTTACACAACAGTCCAGGGTAATGAGTTCCATAGGTTTATTTAGCAACTGTGTTAAGTAGTAGTTTTAAAATACCTGGTACCAACTTCTATGATAAATGGCCACTCTGCTCCCTCCAAAAAAAAAAAGGTAGGTATAGAGCTAAAATGTTACCATTTTTCACAGTCTTATAACTTGATTTCATTCACACTGACTAGCAGCAAAAATACAGTAAAGTATCTGTTAATTTTCTGCCTAACGTGTAGTAAGCTCCAACTTAACTCCCTTTCACAAACTTCTCAAGCACCACTATGTGCCAAATATACTTCTAGATTGAGAATACGTAAAAGCAACCAGGTCCCTGCTGTTATGGAGCTGACAGTTCAGAGAAAGAGACAGATAAGGTGCTCTAAAGAAAAAAAGAATGGTTTGTTAGACTGTGATGTACAGGAAGGTGTCTCTGAGGAGGTGACATTTAAAAAACTCAATGCCCCAAAATCCAGCCAAATGACCACCAGTGTGAACTGATCAGTGAGAATTCCAAGGAGTGGGGAAAACAGGCAAAAGTTCGAACACCTCACAAGCTGCTAGCCCCTATGGTGCTGTAATGATCACCATCCAGGAGGCTGAAATCCTATAATCCTGGCATAATTACTAGTGCCCCAAAGGCGTCCTGGGTTGGTATTCAAGTGTATGGTCACCCTACATAGGGGAGAATTTCTCAAGCACTTGTGACAATTTCTATCAACTGTATTCAAACAAAGGTTTAAACAGTAAACTTGTGCTAGCTTAAAAATATCACTGGTAAAAAGAAAGCATCTAGCACAGTCATGGATAAAAAAGATGCACAAAATGAAATCAAACTGACCACATTGTGCATCTAAAAGCTCATTTAAAGTCTCAAGGTTTGAATGGCACCCTCCTTCTGCCTCGCCCTACCATCAGACAAATTGAGAACTCTAAACCCGAGTCACTTGTGGTGGCTTTAATGTTCCGACCAGAAGCCTCCTAAAGAATTAAGTATAGGATGCAGGCATCATGCTGGGGAGTTATTGAAGGGGCCAAGGTCTTCCTAATAAAGCCCTCGGAGTCCTTTAGTCTGAGGACTTCATCTCATTTTCCTTGGAGACTGGGGCTTAAGGACCCGTCCTTAACACTTACAACCAGCATTTTTTTTCTTTCCTGGGCCACTCCATTGTATAATAAAGGCACACCTGACTGTCCACAAATACCACTGGATAAGGTTAAGAATCTGGAGATTAGAGAAACGAATTCCAAACAGCGATGGAGTCCACAGCACTTACAGGACAGGGAGGGGAATCCCACACCAACACTAATGGGAATTTCCCTTCCCTCCTGAGGTGAACACAACCAAGTTGGATTCCTGACATTTCTACTGAAGGAAATGGGCAAATGGGAGACCATCTTACTCCACAAGACATTGCGGGGAGCAGTAAAGACTACCCTGATGAATTCAGAATCAAATCATCTTGGAAAATGGCTGCTTCTTTGGACAAAGTGAATGATTCCTATTCTACTCTCGTTTCTTCTTTTAATTACAAGGCGAGTTTCACACATAAGATGATCTGTACCAGAAAGAAGCCAATCCACTTGGGATTTTAAAAAATCTGGAGGAACTTGGAATAGCATTTGAATGTCAGGTTGTCGCACATCAACACATACAAAAGGCTCCCCTCAACGCCCCCGCCACCCGCCCCAAAATAAAATAGCCAAAGACAAGGTCAATGCTAACCAAATGCCAAAATAAGTAAGACCGGTCCACCCTAACCACTTTCCGGAGGTGTGCGGCCTGGAGGTACCCCCAAGGTCAGACCTCCGCGCACTGAGCCTAACAGGCATGAAATGCACGCTTGGTACGAGGCTGGTTACACGGGCACCAGAGGTAACCTTACACACCGGGGACGTTTCAAAAACGAACATATAGCTCAAGTTCTGCAAGAATACGTCCTCAAGTTCGGTGGGTGAGAGGAGCTGGAGGTAAGAACCTTCTGCTAAAGGGAGTGGGTTTGGAAAGGTCTGGCACGAAAACAAAAAATACGTCTGTTCTCAATCAACCATCGGATAAAGCCCCGCGGGGCGACGAGAGGCGGAGGAGGCTGGTAGAGGGACGGGAAGGGTGCGGACCGCGCGGAGGAGCAGCCGCGGGCCCTGCCAGC